GCTTTTTTCTTAATTTTTAAAGCATTGATTGCCCTTCTTTTCAGTTTCTGATAAAGTTCAGAGCAGCCCTCTGGCCCTTCAGGCTATATAATAGAAAAAAAATATTCAGATCGCCCTACCTCTTTTACAGCACTCACCAGAATTAAGATGATTTAACATGGAGAGACTTCATTCACAGAAATAAGTAATCCCTTTTTGGGAGGTATTGATAAATAAATTAATCAAGTACCAGACTCACACACCATTTCTCATAGAACAGTGACACAAATTTAAGAGGAAAACAGTGCAGGAACCAGTTTTGATAGGAACAGCCTTGCCACATTAGATAAGGGAACAGCTCTCTTCACAGTTCTGAAGGTTTTGGTTCCCTGAGCTCTTACACAAAATGAGCAAACTTTAACATTAAACAAATCAAACCCATCAAAGTGACTCCTGTTCAATAGAGAATAACTACATCTCTCTTCAACCATTTCAAACAGGAAGATGTACTCTATATGAAATTTGGAAAATTTGTCACACTAAGGAAAAATTTATTTATTCATTTATTTATTTAAAGACTTATCTCCTTTTAACAAGAGTCTTCTGGCCCATTTAAACCATCGGTTTGTTGGGTTTTTTTGTTCATTTGTTAGTAAGAGAAGACATTTTAGCTTTCAGTAAGTAACTAATAGACTGCCCATGTGTATTTTCAGTGATTACAAATGGCACATCTGTAGTGCAGCCATGATATTCTTCAGTTATATTCTCCTAATCTAAGAAGAAATTCACTAACAAATACAATTTCATTCAACTGTAAGGACTTCAGCCTAAGATCACTAGGCTTAAAAGAGCTAGTTTCTGGTTGTTCTACTCTCGTGTTATTTATGGATGCATCTGAGAAAAACAGATCCAATTTTAAGGCTTGCTTCATTTGTGCCAACTCTTTCCTCTCTTGGCACTTTACTTTCAGGATCTCAGTTGGCCTCATGTGACCATTTTATTGCATGTGGAACCAGGATATTCTGTAATTGTCTCCTTTTCTAAAAAGGAGAAGTTAAATATAGCAGATCAAACCTGTTGGTGATCTACTGATTCATGTAAGAGAATTAAATGGTATTTTCCTAAGATTTTTATTTCACTATTAAGCTAAAGTTTGCATACAAAATTAACAAGAAAATCAATGCCTTTGGGAACAACCATCTAGCTTTGATCCAAACCTAAAGCAGTTACTTCTACACAACTAAAAGCAGTTGCAACACGACAGATTTTGAAGTGGAGTTACATCTTACATTATATAATGTAAGATATCCATTTCCTGCACTGAAAGCCAGACTGCTTTGGCTGACAGAAATAAAATTCTGTTTGAAAAAATAAACAATTCATAAAACCTCCTGGAGGTCTTCCTGTAGAAAGGAAACACTGAATGAATGCATTTTGAGTTTTCTTGTATACAGATACTGAATAAATGCAGTGACTGGTTTATCCTGTGTAACAAATGTTGAGACTTCCAACATACTCTTCATTTCTCCCTTTGTTAACGAGGGATACTTGAGTGACTTGGAATTAGCACAGTTTATACATTTTGCCTTGTAACACAAATTCAAAATCTGAAAAGAGCTTCCTGAAAACTAGTATTTGCAGGACCTACTCCCTTCTCCCTTAGCTTTGCAAATCACTTACAGGAGATTTTTATTTGGTACCATTCTACCATAATACTCATTGCTGCCAGCAGGCAGCTTATACAGAAGCAAAGGTAGTCTATACCTTGCTGAGAAATCAAAACTTTGTGGTAGAATAAAAGGGCAAGAACATCTAAAACCAATACCTCTTGACCTAATCACCAAGCCAACTCATCTCTGTATCAAATGCCACTACTAGTACTTCCTTGTCAGCAATCTTAATAGCTTATCAGTGCAGTACAGTGGCATTTATATCTCAGAACATCTTGGAAAATGATATTTCTTCCACTCACTCTGATCCCATTTTTATTTAAATTAAATGAATGTGGCTACCAAAGATGGCACATAAAGCCAGCATTTAAGGTGAGGATGTCCCAGGTTTACAGTTTTACAGTGGTCAATAAAGATTTCATTTTGCTACCAGCACAGCAGATCTGACTGGCACCTCCTACAGCACTGCCCTGCAGGGAACTCAAGAACCTGACTCAGGCCTCCAACACGTCTGAAAAACAAGGCAATACTGACTACCATCTCTATGCTGCAGTTCACTGTAGAAAGAACAACAATCTCTACCTAAACAATCCTGAAAACAAGAACTAGCAATACAGGGGATATATGAAGAGATGCTTTTATTTGGCAAAAAGAGTACAGAATAGATCAATTAACTGAGGGAAAAACTGCTTACATGCTTTCTTTCTTTTCTGAAGATTCTAATTGCATCCCAAAACCCCACAGAGCTATTAAGTGAGAACAATTGCATTGTACCCCTTCAAATTTCACTCATCACATCCCAGCACTGTATATGTCCCACATTCCTTTGGAGGAGACAGGTGGACTTCTCATTTTCTTTCCACCCTAAGGTGTTGACCTTACACTCAAATTTCTAACACTAGCATTATTAGATTTTAATTATCCATAATCAGCTCATTTCTGAAGATTTGTTATGTATACTAAACTTCAATTTTTGTGGAGAATCACAATTGTATCAATAGGATGAAACAAACAATACTCTTTCATTCAGCAACAAGAGTGTTCCAGCCAGAGAGGCTGACTAGAAAAATGCAACCATTGAGGTAACTGGAACACAGCTGCAATTAAATAATATAGATAACATAAAAGAAGATAGCAGAATGCATAAAGAACAGCACAAGAGATTATTCCACTCGGTATGTAATTTTTCACAAAAAATAAGCTAAGTTTTTTTTTTTTTTTTTAAATATGCTCTAATTTTTGAAGGTCATCACAAGCTCAGTGATCACAATCAGTAAAAAACATATAATTATTTTTTATTTTGTAAAAAATGGAAATAATAACATAGGTGGCTTACTCATATCAGCACTTTTCCATCAAGTACATATAACAAAACAGTCTAGTTTTGGATTAGAATCTCTCACACAGAGCACAGGAACAGGTTGTCCAAAGAGACAGCGGATGCCCCATCCCTGGAGCCATCCAAGGTCAGGCTGGATGGGGCTCTGAGCAACCTGATGTAGCTGTAGGTGTCTCTGTTCACTACAGGGGAGTTGGAACAGATGACCTTTAAAGGTCCCTTCCAACTCAAGCCATTCTATGAATTTGCATAGGAAGACCAAGACTGTGTCACCTCTGCTATCTCCTCTTAACCCACGCTTCACTAAGCACCAGTCTGGAAAAACAGAGCTTGGTTAAGCTCTTTTCCACCCACTGCAGAATTTCAAATGGTCCAAGTGGGAACTCATGGAAGAGATCCTGTCTGCAAGAATTCTCTTGCTTACCGCTTTTCTGCTGTGATCTCAATCTGCAGCAGAGGCAGGAAGGAAGGAGAAAGAACAAGCCAAAAAAATGCAGTATAGCTTTTAACTATATAACCAGAAAGAAAAGATTATCACTTAATTGATCATGCAGCTGATCAACCCTCTCCAATCCGGACTTCAATCCACAGCACTGAAAACCTAAGCCTTCCACTCAGTGGCAGCATACAACAAAAACAAAAAATCCACCCTGCAAATTTTGTTCCTTTATTCATTCTGGCCAAATTGCATTCTGTATTGAAAAATTACAAATGAATAAATGCTTATTCTGCTGGACATCCATTTCAGACTACTTGTGCTATAAAAATACATTTTTGCACTAAGTGATATGTGATCATCAGAATCATCAAATTAAACTGACAGGTGCAGGCTGAAGCCATGTTTAAGCTATGCAGCCACTAACTGTGGGGTTTTATTGCAACACTCAAAGCTTTTTATGGCGTCAGAAAACTACAGGACAAATCCACGGAGGATAACAAAACACTCATACAGCTCCTGAGCAGTAAACTGCCAAAAGCTCAAAGTACATCTGAGTAAAACAGCACCATGCCATTTGCCCTGTTCTTACTACCTTCACATAGACTTGCTGTTAGCCACCATTAGCATTTTTGGTACAGCTTTGGTCTGACCTATTAGAGTTCTGTCTTCATGCTTTTAAAGTAGTAAGAAGTAAAGCTTGATTGCACAAGCAAAGCACTGCAAGTACAGAAATCCTCAAGTTGTTACAGCTTCAAATCTGTTCCCTTGGTTGGCATTTCTAAGTAGTCAAGAAAATTTTGAAAGATAAATAAAATATGGTTATTTAACGGAAGCAAGGATTCTCTAAGTGCCTTATTTTCTGATCGATTACTGTATAAAATCAGTAGAAAGAACCATGTTGCTAAGGATGCAATTGCTATCTACAGCAGCATTGCTCATCATTTTCCTTCTCATAATTTAAGCCATGCTCACACAAATACCACATGAAACAACTTCTGTGAATTCAAAATAAGAACCAACTATTTTTGCATTGCAATTAGCTAGGGACGGACAGGATCGTGTACATCAGAGCTCTGCATCTCAAGATTAGGTGGCTTTTGTTCAGCACCTTTTCAATACACTTAATTTAGTCACAAAGATTTATATTTCAGACAAACACATCCCACTTTTGCTCAAATATCACTCCATCCTGCATTATTCAGCACACCTTTCATATGCCATTTTGGATAATTTTACCCTGACAAATCCGGAAAGGAACAAAAAAACTTTGATTCTTTTGCATCTTTTGCAGACTGTCTGAAGAGGCACATGACAATGAAATGATCGCAAGCTAAAAAAAAAAGTATGCATGCTCATATCTGTAAGCTAATTTAAGGCATTTCTGTGATAACAAATATTGTATCAAATTGTATACTGGGGTTCAGGATTGAAAGGTTGACTCTAGTTTTGCAATTTGTCAAAAATCTTTCATGTGTTTGCCCTTGAAACGTATTCCTACTCTTCTTTTAGTTAATTCTTTTAGCATTATTTTATTTACAATTTAAAAAGCACTTAAGAAGAACAGTATCTTTACCTCAGTAATTTCCTTTTTTTAGCAGAATCTTCCGGGGTTCTTGAGGCCTTGCCTGACTGTTTCTTAGGTGTTTGTAGAAGGGCCTGTGCAGACTTGAGCCAATCGCTGGCAGGTCTTGCTGCAACTTCTCCCACACTCAACTGCAATTTCTTAATGAATCCTGGATCAGTGGGCTGTGTGTCCACTTCTTCCACATAGTCATTGTCAGATGAATATTCAGAAATTTCTGCCAACTAATGAAATAAAAATAAAGAAGTATTTAAACAGAGTGCTAGCGAAATAAACTAAATTACATGAAATATCTGGTTAATTTCAGCTACAGATTTATGTAGACAGTTATGTTCCCTACCAATCAGTAAATGAAATCACAATTTATTGATTCATATAACTTGAACAACTGTAAATGCATATTATTTTTTTCTGAGTCAGCATGAACTGCTGAATATAAAGATCGTCTGTTGAAAGAAAACTGAGATGAGTAACATCTGTTCTAAAATAACCAGATCTGGAGAACTCATCAAAAAGCTAAGTCAATGCCCATCTCCATTAGAAGTTTACAAACAAGTGTCAGGATTAAAGCAAACTCAGGAAAACAGAGCCTAATGTGGAAAGGGATCACGAATAGCAAGAGAGCTGAAAGGCAACACAAAAGTTAGGTCTGGATTCAGGTAAACAGAAAGTTTTCTGCCCTATTCTGAGCTGAGAAAAAACAAACAAAAACAAGCACGTGTCTCTGCATGAGACAGAAATTGTAGCTGGCAAGCATTATTTAACATTTTGTTAAAACAAGAATTTGACCACTACAGCTAGCCTTCATGCATGTCTAGCGTGCCTGTGAGTTGCAGGGAAGGTATCAGAGATGTTGGACCGACATCCAGATGCTATCAGGCCACAGCCACACAGCACCTTAGAGGAACCCCCGGTCAGCAGCCACAGCCACCAGCAAGCAGAGTGGAGCTGAAGTTCCTAAAAACCTGGCTGGAGCTCCTCTCACAGAAACACACAGGACACACTGAACCAAGAAAGGAAGCATGAGAAGGTCCCAAAACAAAGCTGGAACGGGAGATGAAAGGCTCAGGAGAGTGCTGACAGGAAAAAAAAAATCACCTGCTTTGGCTCAGTTTGCCCTACTCTCCTGCAGGGCTCCTGCACAGACAGGGCAGGGCAGCAGGTTTGGCTGCCAGGGGTAAGCCAAGCAGCGTTCAGTTGTTATGTAAGTTATTATCTCTTGACCCAGTATTTCTTAAAATACCAAGTACTAAGGAACATTAAGCAAAAATACTTGGAAATACAAAGAAAAATAAACATGTGGCAAATAGTCAGTGAAGTGCACAGCCATTCATCCTTCCAGAGCAGTACAGAAATGCTACACAACTGCTCACTCCTAAGTAAGAACAGACAAAATTCATTCAAGCCATATTCTAATGAACTGAAAGACACTAATTTACTGAAAGACACTTAAATAGCATTAGACTGTCTGCAAAACTACACTAAAGCTGAACTATAAACTGCATTTATAATATATGCTTTTGTCTCATTCTTCCACTGCTGTAAGTTGGTTAACAACAAAGCAGCACAAGTGCTCTGGAGCACAGAGCAGTTCCAGCACCAGGGCACAGCACTTCCTCACTCCAGCAGCCTTCCACAAAGCCTTTCTTTGGGGCAAGCAACTTCAGCAGCTCATCCTCCATCCCTGGAAAAGCCAAAACCCAGCTGATAACTGCAATGCGTTAGGTTCATATTATCAACAGGGAAACTGGAAAAGAAACTAAGATTAACTAGGTCCAGATAATGCTGCTCCCATCACAAAATAAAATGAACCTGTTTAACAGCTCTCCACACAGCTTGTAAGACAAATGACTGAGATAAAGACTCTAAGGATAAAGGTGAAAGGGAGGGAAATCACTGCATTCACTAAAACTGCATGTTATTATTTAGCATAACCATCGGAAGGCAACATTTCTCTAGTGCAGACAACAAAGCCCCACATACAGCTACTGCCAGTTCTTTAATACATTCTTCACGTAAATGATGAGACACTGTGTTCATGTTCCACAAGCTGACCTAAGTACTCTGGAAACTGGAAGGACCTTTTAAAGCGATCCAGAGAAGAACTGCTAAAAGAATGTAATTCATATCAGCCCGTGATTTTGCTGTTTTAAACAACGCAGTCAACACTCGTCCCTTGGCAACAACATCTCTCTGCAAACAAACTCCTTCCGCATTGGAAAAGAGCCAAAACTAAAAAGTTTCAAGCAGTACAAAAGCAGTAAGCAAGTGCTTTGTTCTAAAAACACTTTGATGCTTTAGGAGTGCTTCAGTTTTACACAAATTGCTATGATACCTGGTGTGCCCAAAGGATGCAAGCCTCAAGTTCTCCCTGCACGTAAAATGCAAATCAGGAAAGCCCTTGGGATGTAATTGAAGTCGAGCACATTACAATCCCACAGACTGTTGTAAGAGTTGAGAAGCTTTCTTAAGGCTTGTCTAATAAATCATTTCATACTTCTTCTATTATTTATTACTGTATACTTGTTTAGACTTAACTTCCCCAAGGAAACCACACTTTGAGGTTTTTGTTTTGGGGTTCTTTGCTTATTAATGCTTTTCTGTTTTGTGTTTTTGTTGTTTTAAATTGGTCTGTTAGCATTAAAAAAAAAGTCTTTAAAAATGGAGAAGAAAAACAGGGAAGAAAAGCTTTCAAATGCTGAACATCATTCAGTTACCATCAGAAATACATCGTGAAGAAAATGTGCTCAGAACTTACATGATTTTTATGCATGCAGATAAAACACAGCATGTCTACCAGCATTATGGCAGTGCCCAGTTGAGAAAAAGAGAATCATCTGAATTCTTAGGTTCACTTTAAAATGATCACTGATAGCTACCGAATTGTATATCATTTATAAGTATCCTAAATACAAATTTTCACAAGGTTTTTGTTTAGTGGGTTGTTTGGTTTATTTTAAAATAACATCATCCCCAGTTGCATCACCATGAGTTTCTGGAGAGTGTCATTGCTGAGCACAAAGAAGTGCCATATTAAAAGCAGCAGATTTTCCTACATCGCTTCTTCCTTTGAAATATAGCCCCTTCTCATTTATTTTTTACGTTACAGTGGCAAAAGGCACACTGCTCACACTACCCAGTCACTCAGTTTCTCCACCTTAGTTCTTCCTCCACACCAAGCCCAATCAACCATCCCCACTCTGGCATTTTCCACAGCTGGCTCTCATATATCTCCATCACTCCAAATACTCTGTTCTAGACTATCCACTAAGATTTGCTTTCATTTCCAGTGATGACCTTGCTGCCACACCCTCATTTATGTCATGCTAACCACTTTTTCATTTCCCAGAGTTGGTTCCAAAAAAAAAAAGCAGGAGCTGACCTCACAATCTCTCTCCAAGACGACAAACATGGTTCATTTTCGTTCACTTTTAGAATAGATTGATTTCCTCTCTGAATGTTTTCATTTGAAATGGTCTAAATGCTGCTCTTCTAGGACTCTTCCCTTTAATGGAAAAATGACTTTAGTATAAATATACAGAATAGTGTCATTTTTTCCACTGAGATTTGTCTAGAAGAAAAAAGTCACCAACTACTATAGTAGAGCATTCAGGACCTTGTATCTTAAAGATAAGCAAATCAAAATGCATCAAAAGATAGCTCTGAAGGGAAACTTCTGACGCATTTTCGACCACACTCATCAGTACATATTGGATGGCATGAACATGGAAATAGATAAAAGAAACAGCAAGCTTGTGCCCTTAGCCAACCTGTTAAAATTACTAAAAAATACGAGATCAATTTAAATAAAAGCCAAACAAAAGCACCTTCCCATGAGCACATACATTTTGCACCCAGCAGCAGAGCAGCTAATATGCAACCGATACATGTGGGACCAAATACTCCCTCCTCAGCTTTCAAGAGATTGACTTCAGCTGTTACTTTATTAAAAAAGAAAAAAATGCTTTTTTTTAAAGTACTTTTACAGTCTGCACAGCATTTGCCCTAGGAAGGTGTGAAAAAGTTACCTTTTGACTTCAGTATCGACAGAAACAAGAAATAGCTAGATTTGATCACTTTAATAAGCACTCGATGCATCTTACCGATAACACAGCAATAAACTGACAAGGATTAAACCTCCATGTAAATTTTCCAAATTCAGCACAGAACAGAGAAGTACTCAACTTTTTGTACAAAGCTAGCATACCAATCTTCTTAAAACATATCGTTTCAAACACATGGATGTCTCATACAATGGTTGCTAATGAGAGGCAGTGAGGTAAGTATCTGGGAGTCTCATCCCCCTCCCCCCATGGAGCTCATCTCAAAATACACTTCTAAAACTTCTCTGCAGAGACATTTCAGCATATTCACCATACTTTTGTATTGGCTAAACACTTTCACTTGTTCAGACATCACACATTTAGAAAGCAAAGTGTTTTATATGAAGACATCCTGCAGATACAACACTCAGTAAAAGTACATTGATATTCCAAATGAGCCCAAAAGCTGAAACTGTTTTGCCTAGTTTCTATCACATTATTTTTTTGCCCAAATCTTTTCCCGTTGACAAAACAAAAAACAAAAAAACAAAAAACAAACAAACCATCAAATTCTATACAGACACTGAAGCAATACTTGCAAATGGAACTCGCTTAGTCTGTTATTTCCCTCACTAAAAATCATCTATTTTTTTCCCTCCCATTATCTTGCCACACCTTGGTTCAAACAGAAGTAGTAATCTGGTTCCTCAGATGGCACACTTGTGGAACCAGGCATTTGGAAGGTCACAGAGCAAAGTTACGTTAGAAACAGAAATCCTATTTTGAGAGTTTCAGACCTCAATTTTCCTCTCTGTATATACGATCAATCTTGTTGCGCTTCCTTTCTTAATTATCCTTTCACGCATCTTTGCTTCTAACTATCTTTTATATCCTATTTGTTCTCTCCTCTCCTCTGATTCCTTTATTCCTTTCACAATTTGCATTTGCCCTAACCGTCCTCTCATGACTACTCACAAGATGGCTGGAAACCAGCTGCTTTAACAAACACACATGGTGACACTGTGTGACTGTCCTCCCACCTCTCATTTCTCACGTTTTTCTTTTTTAAGCAATACTGCATCTGAACTAAAGGTTCTCTCTGCTCTCAGGCATGCAAAGGGATTTAGGTGCAGAGAATTTCAACTGCAGGGAAGCAGTTACAAGAGATTTCATATCTTTCT